CTTGACTTTTAAATATTTCTTTGAAGAGGCGATGCACACTAAGTCACGAAGCGTCATTCAGCTTTTTACTCATTAGGATATTAAAAATATCTTTTTCGATTGTTTCAATTCAACGTTGAACTTTATCAACAAATCAGCTTTTAGTAAATGAAAGTTTCTATTAAACAGATAAGTTAAATGTAATGTTGACTATAATCTAATTGTTGAAGGTATTAAAGGGATAACCTTGCTTTGAAGAATTATTATCATTAGAACCGGAGGTTTCATGAAGTTTTTTCGATCGGGAAGATTGTCTATATCACAAAATAATCTTAGATAACTATTTAGAACCAATGAAGATTGGAAAACCATTTAATATTTTCTGGTACTAAATTAAATCATTCAACAGGTATTAGGGTATGAGATATACACTTACGAAACTGACCGCTTGTCCAAACCACAGCAGATGGTAGATCGATTGAGACCTGAGACTTTGTAGCTGAAAGTCAAATTCATTAACAACTGGGACACTGTTCCATATTTAATACGAGGCGTCATGGTAGACCTATGATCATCTTCTAACTAAAATAAGTTAATCATCGTCAAAGTTAATAATTGTGCCTCAGAGTGTACATTACTTTGCACGTGTATTTTGTGACTAACGAGAAAACAGTGCTGAGGTTAGGAAAAAGTTATTGGGTAAGGATGGAAAATCGATTGATGAATCTTCACTAACTGAGATTGTTGGGACATGTGTTGTGTGTTCTCAAACACCGCCTATCTTGACAGGTGACGCTGATTTGTGTACGCTGAAAGAAGGCCGGAGGTGACTGAATCATGAAATATCTGGCAACTGAGTCATGTTAACAAGTGTGAACTAACTGACTGAAATCCGCGTTATAGTCGTAACCAGTGGTCAGAGACAATGAATAACATAGCTCAAAATCGTTTGCAGCGGCACGGATGCATCTAGTCGTCATCACTTTTTATATCTCATTGATTTATATTTTTCCGAGTTGCATCTTCAATAACCCAAATAATACTGTTACTACCTCTGCTACTCTGAAATTCGGTCTGACAAATTTATTTCTGTACACTAATGGAGTATGGAAGTATGTACTAGGTTCGATGTTGCACGAGAAAGATAAGAATGAGAAAAAAGCCTCTAATGTAAACGTCAAATTATACGAAGAAAGCAGTTGTTATTTTTTTCACATCTGTTAACTAAAGAGCACGTAAATTATTATAATGCTAAAATACGTATACCTCGATCTGGTGAACACGAGAAAGTTGTAATTTGCGTACCAATATGCTGAGCCAACAGGGCTTGTACTAGCTTTCAGGCAAACTAATAAACCTTTTCTACCCGAGTTCTTATTCACTCGTCTTTTGACCTTGTCAGTCATCCGCTTATTACCTTGGTTGTGTTCTATTCGAGTGTGTATGTACATGCTTCTTACTACATGTCTAGCTTATTTGTCTGACTACAAATACTTAGCCATGCCTCATCGCATTGAGTTGTCTCACTTGCCTTCACCACCTCTCTTCGCTTTAATGCTTGTGTTCTCATGCGTCTGAATGATCGGCTGCTTGAAATAAACTCATCCAACCGAATCCTTATTTGACTTCTAATTACCGCTGTCGCACAAACGGGGTGTGATATACGGAAACTGAGAGGAAGGCTTATTTCATTGCGTACTCGACCGTCCGCCCGAACTGGAGACAGATCGCGAGCCACTAAAAAGTGTATACCTATAATTCGTAAATACAAAAATTCGATAACTTCTGTAAGTATATATCAATATCATCGAGTTATGTTATAATATTGGAATGTTCTAGGAAATATTACAGATTGTGGAGGAAATTTGTAGCTCAGTTGTTTATTTTGGTTGTAAAGCTTTCACAGTTCTTCCAAACAATACAATTCGCACAAACCCAAGGTAGAAATGAAGTATTCGAATTTCTTCACATATGGCTCGCAGCTTGTCCTGCTGATCTCGATTGGTTGTCATTAACCTATCGTTGTCTGTATCTTTAACGATAGGTTAAAGGCCAGTAACAACCAACGAAGATCGACGTAAACAGGACAAACTACGAGTCATAAGTGGAGAAATTCGCACACTTCGCTTCTACCTTAAGTTTGTGCTGATGATGTTGTTCAGAAGTACAATAAAAGCTCCGCAAACAAAAAATCGAGCTCAGAGAACTGAACTCCACATTAAGAATAACAAACGCTTATAAACTCAACCTTGCTATTATTAACGGTAGATTGATTTTTGGAAAATAAAACATTTCATAAGTTATTTGATCTACTTTTTATTGGGGCACAGTTTTGGAGGTTTGCGTTTTTACACATTTGAAATCATTAATCAATCATCATTGTTAGACCACCATTAGAAACCTGGAAGCACTGGACGGCCGTTTCGTCCTAGTATGGGACTCCTCAGCAGTGCGCATCCACGACTCCTGCTCCTCGCAGGATTCGAACCCGGGACCTTTGGCATTGTAGGCGAACGCCTTACCATCGGACCACTGGGCCGGCATCCAACGGTGTTAATGTCTAACTCTGATTGATCTAGGGATTTTTTATTACTTTGAGACAAAGTCCATCTGTGTAAAAATCATTAATATTTATAAGAAAATTAATTGATTTGAGGCATGTTAGATTTTTTGATTAATTTAGAGAAATGAAGAAAATTGAAATTTATGAAGTAGATAAATATTTTTCAAAAGTACAAGTTTTGAGAAAGTCAACCATTCAAAGGTTCACTTACTGAACACAAAACTTTAGCTTAGATCGAAATACATTGACCAAATAGTTCGGTTATTAGTATAGGTGATTTGTGGAGATTCTTTAGTTCTATAGAAAACGTTACGGACTGAGCTCAGTCAGTGAAAACCAAAAAGCCGTGACTAATGGAGCCCAACCATGTTGAGAAACAGGCAGAAACCGACCAATCGTACTGGCTGGTTCAGCAATATTGCAAGTTGATTTAAACGTTAAATATTCAGAGTGAGACCTAAAGGCCCTGAGAACGACTCTCAGCAGGGTGATGGATACCCACCATTGAATCCAGTACTAAAATGAAACACCTGTCTAGTGCCTCTTGGCCTTTAGTAATTACCTAAGAACAGTAAGTAATGTAAATTACTAAGTAATTTTATGGTTAATGTCAGTATAACCAGTTGGTCATATATCGATGAACCATGAGATTAGCATTCGTCGTTTAAATGCTACAAGTATTATCAACGTACATTTGCGAAACGAAGAGAGGAATAGGTTATTGATTTTTTTTCACCCTCACTTCCAATGCGGGAATTTATTGTCATGATTACTCTTAATCACTAAACTAGTTGTTTGAATCATCATTAATGTAGAAATGAACTGTGATGGGTGTCTTCCAATCACTATAATTGAATCCAATATCAGGATTTAACTAACACGAACCATTGCAGCATTTACTATCATCTCATGCTTACATGGATTAATCTAGCTTATAGACAGACTAATTAATCTACTCTGTTCAAATGATTGTTTATATATATCAGTAACTCGATTGTAATTGTGATTGTCATTATATGGACGTAGTCGGATACGTATCTATCATTTAGAACTCTTAGCTATATGTCCTTAACTTTTTTGTGACTACTATAAATGAAGCTACACTTTATGGAATTCAGTTGGCTTATTTGTTATCTCCACTTCTCATCTTACTTCTTTGCCTGGATAAATGAGAGCTTGAAATAAATTATATAAATCATATAAATTATCTACCTAATTATTTTCATGTTATAAACTTGACAACAAGCATTGACTAATTGATATGATATTGTTCAGTCAGCTTACATTACAAAATATAAACGGTAACAATATCAAAGATCGACATCATTATCATCAAGTGCATTTTAAAGTATAATAACTGTAATCGTATTGAACTTTGAAGTTTTTTTTACATTGGTTAATACTGTTTAGCACGAATACTTACACAAATCTAGTACAATCTTATGATAAATTAACAAAAAAGCAAAGAATTCAGTGAGTTTTCTTATATTTAAATACGCATTTAAGTAGCATCAAGTTATTGCAAAGACCTAAGCAATATCAATTGATTGAATATCCAGTTTTTTTCGCATTGTTTTAGTAGTAGTAGTTAATATTAGTCGTAGGTGGAAACATAGAAAATAAAGAAACACTTTTACAGAATCAATCAGAAGTAAAAGTAACAAATATAGAGCAAAAATGAACGAACAATAAATAACATGTTGTACTCAAAACATGAAAAGATGGAATTCCAGAAAATCAGACTGTTACATTGATATATGTGAAAGCATAAACAAAACTCGTTACATATAGTGAGATCTAAAAATAAAAAGTTGCTGAGACTGTTCCTACATGGAAAGGATATGCATTATGACAAACAGATAATAGGATTTAAAGAAATAGAAGAAATTGATCCAGGTGCCAAAAACAAAAAAGATAATTTCCTGAATACTCGAGAAGAACAAATCAATTTCAGTTATTGATTTAACGATTTGTTTTAAATTATAATCCTAGAAAATCACATGAATAGAATGTGTAAAAATACAACAACAACAGGTAGATAAAATCTTTCATTATCACCAATGCGTGTCGTTACGAATATGAAAAGGTAAATAAATTGATATATATTTATATAATATATGATTACATTTATATGAAGTTGTTAATTCGATGGGGAAGAAATAAATACACTTGAAAACACTGAAATTTTTTTCAAAAAATCAAACTTTAACACCGGATGTTGTGATAATTTGCACTTTCATCAATTGAGTTTGAATAAGGATCGCACACATGTACGAACGGGCAGCCAGCCCCAAACCTTGAGAGGACAAAAAGCCAACAGACGGTGGGTGATTGTTCATATTAACTTTTATACAAGCAAACACATACATATATGGCAGAAAGGTCAAGAGTAGGAGAAAGAAAGAAATAAGCAAAGTCATTAAAACAACCTGGAAAAGATTCTAAAAACAAATATCCGTCAATTGTTGAAAAATAAAGAGCGTAACAAGATTTTGACATATTCTTTCATGCTTCCAGTTTTTATTCGGATTCTACGGCAAATAAATGGAGCACACGAATCTAAAGAATATAGAAATGCAAACACAAACTTCAACAGATATTTGTCAACTTATGACGGTATATATAAAGGTAACTAATATTATATATATATATATATATATATATATATATATATATATATATATATATATATATATATATATTAAGGGTCTATGTAGGGGAGTTGGAAACTTCTGATTTATAGCCAATGATGTCTATGGAGCCTAAATCCTGAGGGAATGAACGGTACATAGAATTATTTTCAATCACCGATTATCATGGGAAAGCATCTCCTACCGTTGGTTTAGTTCCCTATGTATAGGGATCTGGGAACCCCGTGTATAAGTTGTGTGGGAAAATGCCTAAATGTCATTCTCACTGGAAATGGTACAGGAATTTCGATATTGTCTTTACTTAGTTTACTTTAAAAGAAAACAAACAAAATAAAAACCATTTTACTAACTGTTTAAGATGTGTACAAGTGCTGGACGCTGATCTTTACAAAATGGCGCACTTCTTTCTTCGCTTGTGTTTTTGCACTTGTCTCGGATATTGTATACTGGCCATATGTGATTTACGAATTTTTCTACCAATTTCAAGAAATACCTATAAGATGAATGAAGTGTGTGTTACACTAAATGTGATGACAGTTTATATATATATATATATATATATATATATATATATATATATATATATATATATATATATAGGACTTCATTGAATGAAACTTGAAATTCCGGCAAAATACGAATGAACCAAAGCCCTATTGTATTTTTACAAATAGTTGGTAAAAGAATAGAATAAGAACGAGTCAACCGGAATACAAGAAAGTGATTCCCAGGTTTTGCACAAAGTCCAAGATTGAATGAATTTTACTCACAATCACATGGCATACACGATAGAGTTGACTTAGTACAATGCTTAAAACGTATAAATTGTTAAGAAAACTTCTTATCGTCACCAGACAGTAAAAACTAGTATCAGTCAATCAGTGAACGATAAGAATGTTTATCTCACGAATGATATCAATGTTTGTCTCATATTCAAACTATTGATAACCTTGGACATTTGGTAGTAATTTATTTCGCCTACTGAATAGCTACTACTTCATGTTGATTGATCGGGACTTACAGCAAGAGAATGATCAGCCTATATAACTACAATCCCTCCAATGTTTATTTTAAAACTATGTTTATTAACGCGTAAAACTGAAATCAAAAAAGAAGGGAAAGTCAGTTTCCTATGTTTATTAAGGCTAAGATAAGCAGTATGTAAGTTAAAGGTTGCTTACGAACCAATACATTATTATATTAATTGGATGAATTGGACTGTTTGGTAGTTTAATTGAAATAAATTATTTATCTCCCAGTCTGTACACTACTATTAGAGAACAAAAAAAGAATTTTACCAGCTAGACTGGGAGATTTTTTTGAGGTTTGCTAATGTTAACTGCATACACACTTCACGAATGCTGATCATAGTTCATACACCACTAAAAATAATAAAAAATAACTATAATTATATTGACGATGATTAGGATAATTTCGTAGCGGAAACCCAACACATTTCAATAACCAAGTATAAATTCATTGATTAAAAATTTTAGTTGAATTTACTATCAAGTGACTTCTATCTAATCAGTAGTAACAGAGAGCGTCAGGCAGAGATAATAAGGAGACAATGGCGTGTGTCCTTACATTTCTGCGTTCCTTCTTCCTTCATTTAGTTGGACAGTGCCTAAACGACTGTTTATTGGGATCCAGTGCACGAGAGTCCGTTCAGTTTCTAAATTTAGTACTATAACTACACTAGCAAGGTCACAAAAGGTAGCAGTCAATTCCCCAAATACGGGAAAGGTAAAACGTGCCAGTTCTCTGCACTGACTAGGTGAGGATAAGTGGAAGACCATACTTGGGTTCTGTATGCGTCTATCGAAAACATGACACATATCGATGGCATGGGATTCTAGAGTCCTAATTAAAGAAGCATATTGCCCTATTTGACATAAGGTCCGAACATAAAAGTCTCCTAAATGTAGAGAGCGATTTCAAGATAACAGAAATAACATCTGAACTTGAATAGTTAGCACTGGCGCATGAGAATAAAGTCATACAGAAGGGTTGGTGAACGGTACAGAAGGAATATCATGAAGTGATGAAGAGATTTTATCGAGTACAAAGGAGTCTTTAGTGCTGTAAGAGGCATGAAAGCGATTGTCACTTCTCGGTTTCCCGCATCATAGAAAAGCATTTCTTTTTAAGGGAACTGAAAAGGAAACTGGGTTAGTGGTAGTTGTAGAGACATGTGAGTGTAACAGCAGAGAACAAGGGACAACTTCTCGAGGCAGGACATACACGGTCTTGCCGTAAAAATCTATTAGTGTTGGTTTCTTGCTTCAAAAACCCTTACCATCGGGGACGGAAATATCTGAGGTAAGGTGAGGTATGACATTTTTAGAGTTGATCTTCGATAAATCTTTACTTTGTGAAAAGGCAGTATATCGTTGTCCTCAAACTTTGAGTCTGCCGCTTTTAATATTACAGCTCCTCAACTGATCTGCATCGCGTGGCAAGACCTAAAAGAAAAATTGTTCCAGACAGTAAAGCTCGATCTAATCACTACGATAGACAAGCTTGATCACAACGTCAAAGTACAGGGTACGGTTGCAAGCAATGCTAGCATATTTGGGATGCGTTTCTCCCCTTCCACATGTAAAATGCTGTTTTAGAACTGGTTAGAGTCAACGCCTGAACTAATGATAGAGAGTGAAGTAGTTGAGTATGTCGATAATTTCATTTATCTTTGAAGTCTCATCATGGCTGACAAAATCTCAGGACGAATTCAAAAACTTCATTTGGTTGCCGCCGAAATGTGTCACTTAAGATGGTGAGATATCCCATCCGGCAAACAAAAGACAACTATATCGCACAGAGGTTCTGCAATGGTTAACAATGTTATCACATCTACTACTGTCATACTACTTGACAATTTCATCTCTAATGGAGTAGCATAACAGGAACCAATGTACGCTGATACGAGATTCTACTTTGCGTATGACTGACTGATTGAGTGATAATCAAAAAAATTGCATTGAAATACGAAAACTGAAAGATATTTCAAAACATTATATACGTGAATTTGAAAATAATTAATGAATACAAGATATAAAGAATATTCTTAAGTATTAAATGGATTTTCACAATTATTATTACTAAATACAATAATATTTTCAATAAAAATAATCAAACTCGTCATTTACCCTTTCCGCATCGCTATATTTCTTCGCTGAGGTTTCGATAAGCTCAAGATTCCAATAATCTTTGTAATACAGACCTTCACCTATGTAATCTTTTGGAATACGACCTTTTAGATCACATTTATTAGCCACGAGTAACATTGGTACTTGTTGAGAATTCTTAATGCGAACAATTTGCTCACTAAAATACATAACACAAAGGTATCAGTCAGTCACGTACGACGTAATACTTAGTGCATATGTACATCAGTTCAAGATGCCATTAGCACAAAGAGATGGAATATTCTATTCAAATCTCATAGTGTTACCGGTTTTAGCAGTATTAGCGATCAACAAACCGATTCGGATACGAAGATACTAGTCAAGAAGTAAAATACCAGTAAATCACAGTTAAAAAGAGAAAAAAGGTCATGAGGAATTCATACGATTAGGATTTGAGAGAAGACAAAGAGTGGATGCACCTACGCCATTCCAAACGACTTTCAGCCACGTCATTCAAAGTCTCTAACCACCGGTTACGATTGTCTCGTGGACCCTAACTACCTAGTCTACATCTACCAACATGACTCAGTACACTTGCCAGTGACTTCACGGATTTGTACCATGTTTTGGTCTGGCAGCTCTTAGCTTTCTTCCAACCTACTCCAAAACACTACAAAACATCGCTCGTCGAGGGAGTCGGTGGTTAGGCATACGTAACACTTGTCCCAACCACCTCGACTGGTGGTTAGCAAACGGATATCAGGCCATCGAACTGATGAGACTCTCAAGATAATAAGTAAAGTGGCCAAGACGCTCAACCGTTTCAGTCCCTATCACTGGTTCAGGTGCCGATGCAAGCAAATCTCGAAGCAACATTTTGCATTTCGAGGTGGAAAACCGCACCCCGAACATGCTTGCATTGTTGCTTAAGGTGTTCGAATGACTGCATTTTTTCAGCGTCCTCACCAATTAGAACTATGTCATCGGCATACTCCAAGTCGACAAGTGAATTTCCTGTTAGAAGGTCTATTTCTGAGAAGTCAGACGAAGATAATGTTATCTCTAAAAGCATGTCTATGAGAAAATTAAAGGAGATTGGAGAAAGTGGACAGCCCTGACGAAATCCACTCGAGGTAATTAATCCCAATGACAGCTCTCCATAAGCTCCCAACTCAACCAGTAGTGTTCGAGTAGAGGGCCTGTATGAGGTTAATGTACTTTCTTTGATACTGCTTTCAATGACAGACACTGCCATAGAACCTCATGATCAACAGAGTCGAATGCCGCCGTAAGGTCCAGAAATACAACTACTGTGGGACGTCTGAACGAGTTTCTATGTTAAATGACTTGACGGAGTGTGAATATTTGGTCTATACATCTAGGTTCAGGTCTGAAACCAGCCTGGTTTTCTCGAGTCTGCTCTCCGCGAGCTCTAGTTAGGCGTCTAAGTATTATCGAGGCTAATATCTTAGACACTATATTAGTTAAACTGGTTCCCTTGAGACTGTCACAAGAGGATCTTTTTCCTTTCTCATAGGATGGGACAATCAATGACTGAGATCAGTTAGATGGGATTACGTCCAGTTTCTAGATTTTACCTAAGATCGCAGTCAATCTAACCGCTGCTTGACCTCGCTTCAGATTTCCTATAGGCCACTCGATCTCATTCAGTTGGAGCCATTTAGGTTGACTGAAGATCGTGGGTAAGCGAATTGTGGCTGGAGACCAGTTGAACTGATCGCAGTGTTCTGCCCATCGATCCAATCTCCTAGATGGAGAATGAATAATAGTTCCGTCTGTTTCCGAGTCTCACTAACAGTCGGAATTTTAACACGTTCGTTTGATAAGTCTAAGTAGTGCTTAGCTGCCAGCCATCGCTGTCGCACTTTGTATATCGTTTGATTTCGGGATGGACATCACTTCTATGGCTATCTAACTGTTTTTCTAGTTGCTTCTAAAATATACTCTTGGCTTTTTATCTTTTATCAGAAGGGGCTTACTTGCAGTCTTTCCTGAGTCCAGTCAGACGCAGACGAATACGCGCTCGCACTAGAGCATGATGTGAATCTAAACAACTGCCTGAGGCCGGTCGCGCTTGGCCGTTTTACGAGAAGTTTTTGAAATGCTAACTCCGCTCTTTGAAAGCCCGATCACCGGAGACGGAAATCCGTTGGATAAGGTGAGGTGCAATATTTATAGGGTTGACCTTTCCTAACCTCTTTCCTGCCATGATGAGAAGGCAGCATGGAAGCAGATACTGGTTGTCCGAGAGAAACACCTTACTGCTGTCACATCCCTCTACAGTCAGCAGAACGATTTCGCCCTCAGATCTTAGTTACTGCTTTTAATCTTACCGTTCTTCAATCGACTTGCCTGGCACGGTAGGACCTAAAGGAACATATGTTCCAGCCAATATAGCTCAGTTGGGTCATCACGATAGGCAAGCCGGATCACCACTGCAAGGTGGCAGCTATCGTCAAGAACACAAAAGTATCAAACAAGTCAACAAGCACACACATATATAATTGAATAATTAGACTTAAAATGTACTTTACTATGGTATTTAATGAAAGTGTCCAGTAATGTAGGTAGAGGAAAACTGAATAGACTTAGAACTTATACGAACAATGGAATAACTGTGAATCTAGAACAGGAAATAGTAAATAGACAGTTGGTCAATTGTGTAACTATCAGACTTAACTGTTTAACCAGATAAGTATTTATTTACGTTATATATATATATATATATATATATATATATATATATATATATATAATTTGGTATGTGCCCACAAGTGTTACACACTAATGAGATGGTAATGGTGCGAAAAAATGAATAAAAAAATAAATCGGTAAACAAAAGCACTTACTAAAAGATAGAGTCTCATCTAAAATACACTTGAAACGAAATAATGATGATTAATGATTTTAGTTCGGGTAAATTTATCAAGCCTGGTAAACTAAATATTTGCAATTAAATATTAAAGTTCGGAGATTATACGAAACGACTGAAATTTTATTCAGAACTATTGAAAATCAGGCATCGAAACATTCTTCCATGGGAAAATGCATGTGGCTAACAGGAATTTATTGTTTGACAAATACTAAACAAAAGAGTATAACTTCTTATTTTAACCAGTTCTATGGTACTTCTATGATACTACTAAGATAAACAGATATATACTAGTTAATAATATATTTCAAATAAACAAATTAGTATATATATATATATATATATTCATAGGCATATTACTTACTAAAACGTTGGCAGAGAGCGTACAGATTCTTCATCGTCAATAGCAAACACCAATATGAAACCTTCACTACCGCGAAAATAATTATCTCGAATCCCACTATAATCTTCCTGACCTATGTATTTTTATCGATTTATTGATAAAACAAAAGCTGAAATCAGTCATTTACAACGTAGAACTTCGTACGTACGTACATAAGTTCAAATCTTGAAACAATTTCGATAAAATAAATAGAGGAAAAATTTTGAAGACAACCAACCGACACTGATGAATATAACAAGATATTTGTTTATGTAAACTCCTTATAAAAGAGTATTCTGATTTATACTACCTCGTTAACCAGGCACAGCCTCATATGTTTAGTATTATCCCAAACTCGTAATCCAAGGGCTAATGATACCATCCATTCTAGTCAGTCAGCTACAACATACAATTTCGTACGTACGTACATCAGTTGCCATAGCACATAACCAAACACAGAGATGGAAATGTCAATCCAAATCTCATAATAGTCAAGGTAGTAGATGTATGAGAAGTATTAGGAAAGATTAGGATCCGGAGATATTAATCAAGAAGTATAATACCAGTAAATTATACTTTAAAAAAAAGTCATTAGGAATTCAGACGATTAGGATTTGAGAAGACAAAGAGTGGATGCACCTTAAACTGAAATTATTGCATATAAATACATTACACAAGGCTGTGTACTTAATAACTAGTTATTTATGTTAAAATGTGTTGTTTTAAGGAAAGAATCGAGCGTGTGTCCGGATCTGATGTGAAAAAACACTGACCGTACATGATCCGAGGCTACGGTTCGGTATAAAATTAGTCTGATTGACAGACACGTCAAACTTGCCAGAACACGAACGGAATGAAAACGAATCAATAAATCAATGTATGTGTTATCGTGTCAAGCAGACTAGTTGTTTAAGCCATATCAATTATTAAAACGAACATACGTTGTATTTGTTTGAAAAACAAGAGATGGAAAAAAAGTAGCAAATTAAATTTATTTACTTATCAGTCAATAGTTGCTATGGTGCTCAGTGTACTGTTTCGTCAGTTCAGATTGCTTTGGCTTGCCTACATATGTAGGGTTTTTGTCCAGTCGACTCAATCTAACTTCAACGTTTCTGAGGATTTCGGAAAATCCTTTAAGCATAGTTTGTGTTCCTTCACCCTTACTTATTTGTCATGATGCCTCGTCTGCATATAGTTGTATAAATCTGGAGTAGTATTTAACTAAATACTACTTCCATACAAAAAGATGAAAAGATTATCTTATTTGTACCTATGATTTTCATGCACTGAGTGAATACTGAGTACATTCGTTATAAACGGAAACGAATATTGTCGGTACGAATCGAATAAATGTGTCAAGTCATGAATAAAAACTCATCAACTAACTGGAATACATCGACATCATCCCCTCAGACAGTCAAATACGGATAATGGCAGAAATATTTGCGTAAAACATCGTACAGAATTATGTAAGTTAAAATTATTACACTCAGCTTTAGTATGTAAGATAATTAAATATGAATGAAGATCAAGAAAGGAAAGTAAGTGAGAAAGAATAAGATGTTTAAGTTTCAGAAAAGCATAGAGACTTAATGCTTTTTATCATTTTGATCAGATCTGAGTCATATGATCTAGAGTAGTCAATTAGTGATTTTGATAGTTAGTCACAGGTACACAAACTCGACAATTAGCAACTCCCTACATGAATCAGTGACTTCATAAAATTACACTAATGTCTTTATATTTTCATATCTAAAATGTTACCAATCTAACCATACCATAATCAAAATTGTCGATCAGTTGCAAAGTAGAACCCAGTATGTACATACATCAGTTCAAGTTGCCATACTTCAATAGCACACGGAGAAGAAACTGTTAGACCAAATCTCAGAGTAGCAAAGGTGATTAAATATACAATTTAAGAGAACATAAGTCAATTAAATGAAAAAAATAATAAATAATAAGGAATTCAGAAGCTTAAAATTTGGGAGAAGACAAGGAATGGATGCATCTGTGCGATTGCAAGCGATTTTGAACCATGCCATTATTGTCTCTGACCAGTGGTTACGATTATACTGCGAACTGAAACCAGGCAGTCTACACCTATTAATATGGCTTAGTCCGATTGTCAGTAACTTCATGGACTGATTCCAGCCAAAATTGTACGACAATTATACTGTGACTAGGTATGCGTGGCATGCGATCCAGATATATCAATCATTTTAGCCTTAAAACTTCATCTTATGAATTAAGCTCTTTACACAGAACTTCTTCTTAATCTCAAAGTTTGAAAGATATCTGCTTTAGGTTAGACAGATATACCGCTTTTGAATTAAACGAAATATAGTTCACAGAACAGACAATGGTAGTTTCGAATTCTTTTTCTTAATAAAGTAGTTTGATAAACCATTCCCAAGATTTTGTAACTACTAAATGTACAGTGGTATCTCCAGTTTGATTGCTTTTCTTTTGTGCAGTCACCAACTTGCAAGTTGATGAATGCAGGGCAGTGAGAATTTTTCAGATTTTGATTATAAGTTCCAATCAAGAGCTTCAGAGCCCTAGCAAAGAAACCTTCACTCATCTATTTGATTCAAATGCCTTGGTACGGCCGAGAACGGGGAGAGCTCGCTTCCCCTATTGAAACACTCTCATTTGGTCATGCTTATTTAGCCAATTTTAGAGAAGTCCTATCCACTGCATTCTCGTGATGAGGGTGTTGCTTAAGAAATTAAGAGAATGAAATCGAGTGTTCAGCACCTACACCAGGTTGTTGAGTACGAATAATCTATCTAAGGAAGTTGGTTAACCCTGATTCCAGACCAATGGTACTGTCTCCGGGATCTTGAGGGAAGAAATGTAGTATGAACCTATTCCACGTCACCGGCTACTATAAAGCCACAACTCCTAACGTCGCTCCATGGTCTGGTGGATTATATTTCTGAGTTATAGACTCGGGGAATAGTCCTCTATGAAAACCATATGCTTTGGTTTGGGCACCTGTATAGTATCTAAGGCTACACACAAATCAAATGGTGTGTGATACATATTTTGCCACCTCCTTGTACAAGTGTTTATATCTCCAGAAGATACCGTCCCGCGGTAACCGATGACCAGAAATTGGCTCATATGATATTCGTTTTCTTAGGATCCCGGAGACTGTGCATCATTGGTTTGGAATCAGGGTTTACCAACTTCCCTATATGGATCCGCCGTCAGCATTTGGAGGCTATTCGCAGTTATATGAAGTTACGCCAGTATGGAAAGGTAATTTTCTATTGGTTTTTAGGAGCCAGACACTATACAGGTTCTAACGCTACAAAGTTAACAGCACGGATCAATTTTACGGTGCAACCATACAAGTACAGAGAACTTAAGTGGACTAATCTTTCCTGTCACTACTTATACCGCTGCTAACTTTAATACCGTGATCTTCACTGAAAGTGTGATCTCGCTGTCCTAACGACGCATGTCAACTTGAACCGCTGCAACTGAGTGATTGACTCTCCACTACAGTGCTTCAGTATTTTACAACTACGCAAAGCGGTTTCACAATACTGGCTAGGAATTTGCACTTAATCTGAACAGGGACCATACCTTAGGTTTACAACAGAAGGTTAATGGTTTAAGAGGATTTATGATTTAATATTCGGAGCCTTTGTAAATTACCTTTAGTTTTACGAGGAGGTTTGCAATCCGAAATAAGTAAAGGTTAAATTACTTTTGATATTACATCTCACACTAAACGTCAGTGTATAGTTACGTTTGATTGAGAATTATGTATAATTGTTTTTAGTACGTAACGGTTTGAGATGAGTAGTAAATGGGTTTTAAAAACATCAATTGTTATTTAATTTGATCACATACAAGATTGGAGGAATATACTGAGTCTGAATGTATTACGAAAGGGTGAAACCTAACTTTGAAACTTGGTAAATACATCTCAAAATGTTAGGATAATAATACAAACAGTTGAATAAGATAAGAATTATTTACCTGCAGTATCTAGAATGTCAAATTGTAGTTGTGCTCCATCTAACACTGTTGTTTTTCTGTATGAATCAGCTTTGGTTGGTTCATAATCCTCAACAAACTAAAAGAAATGAAAATGTAACAAGTATGCCAAATGCATCACCTCATTATACATAAACTGGAGAGTTAGAGCACTCTTGCCAACTCCACCAGATCCAACGATGGCTATTTTTAAAACGGGTAGCTGTTGCATTAATTTTGATGTTTGAGAGGGAAATGATCAAGTAAAATACAATCCTATGAGTACAAAAGTACTAGTAAGTGAAATCCCAAAACTAAAAGATATTGAATCATATGATAATACACCGCGTATGTATACACATCTATGTCACATATAATAAGAGAAAATGATGCCATTTATTTACAAATAGCAAAAGGAATTAATTGATCGAGTGTCTAGATAACTCACTACTAAAAAATTTAAACGTGACAGCGTTGAATCAGAGTTAATCAGTCAGTCAGTCACAACGTAGGATTTCGCGCTTACGTATATCAGTTCAGGTCGCCATACCACATTAGCACAGAGAGATGGAATGGTTTATTCAAATCTAATAGAAGTACATGTCTTATCAGCATTACCAATAATCAAGAAGATGGGAGTACGAAGATATTAATTCAAAAAGGAAATCCAGTGAAATAGATTTGAGATGAGGAGTTTATATTAGAATTTGGGAGAACACAAACAGTGGATGCACCTGCGCCATTGTAAACGGCTTTTAGTCATGTCATTTAGGGTCTCTAACCATCGATTACTATCATCTCGTGGGCGCCAATCAGGTAGTCGGCACCCACCAACATGGCCCATTCCTCTTGTCAGTGACTTCATGGATTTCTGCCATGTTCTGGTCTGGCCGCCTCTAAACCTCTTCCAACCTATTCCTACATCGCGAAACAGCTCGTCGAAGCAGTCGGTGGTTAAGCATACGCAACACATGTCCCAAACGCACCAACTGATGAAGTTTCAATATGTTGGATTGAAATGCTTTTGATACACGTTAAAAAACGTCTGAACAAAAGAGGGATTAAGACGGCAAAACACGTTGGGAGTGATTCATGATGATAATTGGTAGTTGAGAGCCATAAACTGATGGAGACTGAATACGACTATACTGAATCCAAAAGTTAAAATAGAGAAATACAAGCCTAGTAAGAATCGCCAAACGAACCTTGAATTAATTGTTCGAAAAGATTTTTAAGAGAATACGCGTCCGAATTTGATGAGACTTCAACCATTGTAAAAACTTTCGATTGAGTCAAAACAAGAATGGAGTGAGGGAGATAAATATGATGGAAAGAAATGGGAAATTCAATATCATCAGAGGATGTTATTATGAGGTGAATCTTAACACTAGTCGTATGGTAAACAGGGGTTAAGATACAACCTGGAATATTGGGTCACAGGCATTCTCTATACTTCCTGAAACTAGCCAAGCTTTGAAATTCCCTTCAGTCTGAAGTTCTACCAACTTTTTGTTTTTACAACAAATTTCCTGGCATAACAACACATATAAAGTCGAGATGAACCTAGGTTAACGTGTTTGCGCTTAGTAAAAAAATACGATTTGAAATGAATATACCAGCCTAATGAGCTAACATGGAACATAAATAAGTAGAAAAGGGGATAGTACAACAAAAAACCAAACCTTTAAGCAAAACCTGCCTACTAACACTAGAAAACAAATTTACTCCCAGATTCAGCCGCGCTTTCTTTCATACGACCTTGAAAAGTACAATTAATGTGGCTCACAAGGCTTCTGTCAATGCCCGAAAACCAATGTAGTTATTACGTACAACGTTTATCTCTCTATGTATAAACCTTAGATCGGTTGTTGCTTCTTGACTCTATCCGGAAAACAAAAGATGTCTAGTCCCGTCGAATAGCGTATTATAACTGGGGAAATAAAGTAATGAGGTGCTGAAAAAGAGAAATAAAGAGAAATCGGTGAGGAGCAGAACAGAGAATATTCTTGTTTAAAGCCGAGTCATGATTCAGAATATAATATTTTTGGATAAAACATATGTATGATTACGCATATCTTTTTTTGCTGTATTAGAAGACAAGTTGTAAACCTGCACCTGTGTAGTTTAATGAAAAAATCACTACTCAAGTAGGCAAATAATCTTATGAATGTAGCACATTTAAAAGAACTAATTTTTTGAAAGTTACGTTACTTTACAGAATCTAATAATGAAGGCACAGTGATCTGATACTTTGGTGATATTTTACTTATTTCTTTTTTAAGTCTGTAGCTCAAGAAGTCATGAGTGGGCTCATATTCAACAAATTCGCCCCGATCAGCTTGTAATAGGATTTCATGCTAGGAAGTGAAACCAGTGCAACGTAACAAACGTGACTTGTAGACGTGATTGAACATTTAAAAGCAACGTCAATAATACTGATTAGTTACATCCTGCTATACCGTAAGGAGCGGTAAGAAAAAAATTGTTTTGCCAAATGGATATGGGTCGATCATTGTTATCGCCCCTCCCTCATGAATGCTAGTCAGACACATCACCGTCCCCCCTTTTGTGATGATTTTAGGTTAACTATTTGTATAAAGTGAAAGATATGGGTCAGTTAATAGGTAGTTTGATGATACGAAGAATAGAGAGCTGACAAAAGAAAATGAAAAATATTGTGTACAAATTCATCAGTAATACAATAAATGGGTGAGAAAGTATGGCGTTTAGATGATAATGAATAGGGGAAATAAAAATTACTAAACTTTAAATCCATGAGCAAGTAGGAATTCTTAATTATATAGCAAGTTTGAGTTCCTTGTAATAAATAGTATTTGAACAGCATCTAATGGTATTTCAATTTATCTGTCTATTTCAAATAAAAACTAAAAGTGCTGTGAAAGATAATCAGATGATGATTCGAACATAAATTATAAAATAAATCCGAAGGTTGTGGGTAGCCCCTCAGAGGCGCGACCTATTGATAGTAGTGGAAGTATGAGGATTCATTCATCATTTCGTGATACCTGTATGGATGGTAATCCGGGTGCAATATATTCATGGTCTGTTATCAGTTTATAAGGTTAGACTAAATATTTGGTGAACTATAAAAGAATACATCAGGACTTGTTGTGAGTTCCGGGAATAGTTGATAAATCTGTTTGGAATCTAACAACAGTATCACTAGTTTCTTGAACCTGGTGACTGTCACAGATACGGAAAGTAATTGGTAATCTGTTCCACAATAGACTGTATCATATTATAAAGAAATTACAACGCAATGATTTTTGGTGTTTCGCCGTTAATAGTGTCTATGGCGTTGTTTCTAAGTCTGTAAGCACGTTCGCGGTTTATAAATGCTCGGTTTTTTACTAACGACTGGTTATAGATTATTTTATAAAGGAGTTTTAGGTTATTTTTCAACCGACGTCAACATAGAGGTTCTACGGTAAAAAATTTCGTCCTTCTGAGTAGTCAAGAGTATGGTTCCATTCTAGCCGTCACCATGTGAAGCTTCTTTGAACGTTTACTACCCGTATCTTGTCTATGATATTCATGTTTGAAGGGATAAGCGAGCAATATTCAAGGGAGGCTATTAGGCACATTTTGAAGAGTGTAAGCTAAGCATCCTTTGTCAAGGAGTTCTTATTTATAAACTCCAGTAGCTGTCTAGATTTAGAGATAATAGAAGTACGTTCTTCAAATTTTAAGCCTGTGCAATTATATGAGTGTCTGAACCATACATTTTGGTAAGTCAAGCAGTCTTTTATGGTGATGCTCACTAAAATGTATGGTGCCAAATTTGATGTAGTTAAAAAGTAGCTGCGACATTTCGCTTCAGACAGACAAGTTGGATAGGTCACTCTGAATCCTGGCGATATTTTTTGGTGCAGATCTTCGTGCTTGTAGCTGTACGCCACTTTGAGTTCATCCACATATAAGCATGATCTTGCAAATTTTATAGTTTTATATACATCATTTGTGTACATAAAAAACAAGAGTGGACCTAATACACTTCCATGGATAACTCCACTGGTTACTGGTCTTGGTGATGAAAGATAACCGTTGTATTTAACCATTTGTAAGAAGTTTGCTCAATGAATGGCATGACAGTTCTTATGAAGTGTAGTAGTTCTGCGTTTTCCAGTAATGGCTTTTATATCAAGACTACAAGTGACGATATTATGATCTCTACCCGAGATCGTTTTACGAACATATGCAGTATTTGGAATGAGGTTGCTGGTGAAAACCAAATCCGATATATTCTGACGTCCGGTTGGGCAGCCAACATGTTGAGCCCACTCTCCAAGCTCTAAACATTCAATAAAGGATTCAAACTGTTAAGTTGCTTTGATTGGCAACCAAGAGATTTCATGCTTTTTCAAATCCCCACAAATAGTTTTGTCTGTAAAGGCGAGGGTTGAAGCCAACGTGAATACTTCTTCAATATTACTAGATCCCGTATAGGAGCGCTAGGCTGACAGTGGACATAATCAAACAGTAAGGAAACTTCATTTGAGGGTTTCAGAACTATCCACACTGAATCTTGTAATCTTTTTAGTTCTGGCATATCACACAAGAGTTCAGGTCAGAGTTGTTTTATACGAGGCATCCCACATCTCATCCTAGTGACGTATCACTCCGAAATATATCATGGTTTTCAAGCGAAATACTCAGATCAGAAATATTAATGATGGATCATGAATGCAACCTTAAGCGAGTTCGATTACATAGAAGAAACATCATCTTGTGCCATTGAGACTACTCAACACAAAGATAAGTATCACATAGAATGACTCTAAATTTAAATATACGTTTGTTGATTTCAAGTGCTTATCAGGTTGAAAAAAACATAAGCAGTAAAGTTGAAACATAATTAATGAATCGTGAGAAACGTGAATTGTAACAGACTTCCGAGGCAGCAGAGTTTTCAGAGAGTGTTCCTCTCGACTTCTGAGTGGAATGTGTGCATGGCAAACACATGCCTGATGATACAAAACCATCATCAAGAAATTTAATGGATGATCGTAATTCATAGCGTTAGATTGTACAATACTGATACAGTCATTACCGTTACCTCAGGTGACTGAATTTTTCAGAAGTATATCGGAAAAAAGTCAATATAGCTAATTTCAGGAATCTAAAAGCATTAAAAAGTGAGTGTGTTCCGTTTTATTTCTAGGATTTGATACAGGTACGTTAGTCTTCAACCTGGTCAGACAGAGGTGAAAT